ACTATAATCTTCTTTTCTGACCGACTACTTGCGCTGTCTCTACTTATAAAATGGAACAAAGTTAAATTATTTATCAAATAGCATTCATTTTCCCTACTATCTCATTGATTGATATGCCGCTCCCATTCATTTTTTATTTTTGATAGAGGTGAAAAGCTAATTTCCGTTTGATAACCACGTAATTTCAATGTTGTATGATGAATGAGCGTGTCTGAAAAGAAACGAACTAAGTATCAGTCTCTAACTCGTTACCTCGCTAAAAATATGAAGTATAAATTTTTGATTTTACACAAGGTATAATATTTTATAATCTGTTGAACTGTGCTTTATCCCGTTGATATCTTTTAGCGCTTTACCAAAGAAACACTATCATCATATAAATAAAAAGACAACTCGGAAGCTGATTGGGTCAGTTAGTCAGTAATTTAAACGCATTTTGTTCCTTATAACTTCTTCTCTTCGTCCGCAATCCGTTCATAGAATTGAACAATATACCTTAACACTGTTGTATTACCTATTTTTAGACTTGACTTACTCCTCAGTTACTTTTTTCCACCCTGTTAATGCTCCTTTATCACTTTTAAGTGTTCTTATCATTTCAATCCACGTCAAAGTGTTTAATCAGTCTGTTCACGCTCAGTGTCCATGCTTGTCAGAGGGAGCAGTACTGCGCATTAATTACGCAATATTAGGCAAATGCAAAATATGAGAAATATGCCAGATCAGGTACTATTTGTAGCAGTGAAGGTAAAGAACACGGTTTTGTATATTAAACTAATTTAGCTCAATTCCGCACTCGGGCAGCACCAAAATGGTTACGCTTCATGAAATACATTGCAGACCAAAAACGAGCTGAGGTAAAAGGTACGGCCGGTGTACGAACCATGCTGTTATAGAGCATACACAATCATGCTAAGCCCTTTTATACGCAGAGTGCTTTACAAGCGTGATCTGTTCATGCGAATGAAATGAATAAATGTATTTTTAATGTTTATGCACGGATATAAAGTAAAGATTAATAATTCCATTTATGGCATGGGCAATACACACACTCACGAATACTTGCATATTTCAAGGTACGGTGAATTATGTGCAGGTATGGTGTTGTATGCTGTTTTATGCACCAAAATTAAATTTGATTCGGTATATGCGGTGGCAGGTAAATTTATAAATTTTAATTGTTTATTAAGTGTGATCTAACAGAAAGTACCAGGGCATGTTCATGCCGTAGATGGTAAGGCGGTAATGAATTATGTTTATGCATAAACAATGGGGGCAAATTGTGTGCGCAGATGGAAAGAAATGCACGAACGTGATAAATTACGCTCCTACATGGATAGCACTGTAAAGGCACGCCTATCATGCCGTGCATAAAAGGTTGATTAATTATGTTTTCGCATAAACAAAAATTAACCCTTATTAGAGCTATGACGAGAGACGAGCGCGAAAATTCAAAAATTGACCTAAACTATCTTTTAGATTGTGCTGAGCTAGTGAGCTACGGCACACGAATACCGAATGAAATTGCACAGCTATGCAGGAGCCGTCTAAGTCTGCACAATTTCCTGTTAGTACGCGGCATTGCCAAGGGCGGATACGGCAGCGTTTACCTGGTGCAGAGCCATCAATCACAACGCTACTATGCCCTAAAGGTGATCAAGAAGCAGGTGGTTATCGACATGCCCCACCTCGCACTGTTCGAGAACGAAAAGGCTGCACTCAAAAGTGCGCGTGATGCGCAGTACCTCGTGTTCATGCACTGCTCATTTCAAAACGAGCACAGCATCTTCTTTCTTATGGATTTCTATCCATGCGAGCTGCTTGAAAGGGTGCCGGTCAGGGACGAGCATGAGCTGCGCTTTTATGCGACAGGTATTCTTCTAGCAATCGAGGAGTTGCATAAATTGGGATACGTGCACAGGGACATCAAGCCCGAGAATATTTTCTTGGACAGGAATGGGTGTGTAAAATTGGCTGATTTCGGTTCATGCTGCCGCATAAAAGACGCGGATGAGCGCATAAACGAAGGCACGGTGATGCGCAGCATGCGCAGCAGAAAGTTGACCGGGAGCAGCGCACGTTCCTCAGGTAGCACATGCTCAGCCAACCGATCGGAAATAATGGTAGGAACCCCCGATTACATCGCACCCGAGTGCTTTACGAACGAACAGGGCATCGAAGTGGATATGTGGGCGTACGGTGTTGTGCTTTACGAGCTGAAGCATGATGAAACACCTTTCTACGCAGCCACGCTCTCTGAGACACAGAACAACATCAAAGACATAAAATACGAAAGGTGCACGGGTGTGCTTGGTGATCTGGTAGACCGCCTTCTGCGGTACAAGGCGGAACGTATCGATGTACAGCAGTGCAAGGAGCACCCGTTCTTTGCTGGCGTTAATTTTGATGAATATGCAGGTGGTCTTAAACCGTCATTCGTACCTGAGGTGAGCACTGAGGGCGAGACCGTGCATTTGGAAGGGGAAGAGATTGAACATACGTGTGAATTTGTAGGGTTTAGTTACGATCCGTGTTTTGATGGCTTTGAGGTGCGTATGAAAGACAAGATGGTTACCGGTATGATTAAGGGTTCCTCCGAAAAGATTGATAGTAAAGGTTTAGATGGTAGATTGGGCGAGGGTACGGGATTGCGTGATTGCACAAATGTTGACCAGGGATTGAAAGATCAAAAAATTAATGATGGCAAAGACACTAGCGCTAGAGGTGCTGATCAGGACACACGTATTGGTCAAGTAAGCACGACATATTACGCTTACACAGGCTCAGATCAATCAGCGGTGGTGAAAATGTTAAAATGCAGCGAATGCGGTAAAAATGAAGTGCTAACCGGTAAAGAATCGTACAACAGTGATGACTGTGTAAACATGTCGAAGAGTGCTGGGGATGAAACCAGTGCTGTCCATAAAAATGATTTAAAAGCTTTGAATGGGGCCGTGTTGGACAGTATGAGCGAGCACGCCAGAAGGAACGAGGGTAGCAGCACCCATATGGTGGCTTGTAGCGATTTATTGACATGTGATGCTCTCACAAAGAGATGTGATGAGCTCATCAGTGAAAATAACGTGCTGAAGGAAAAAACAGGGGTGATAAACACGATGCTGAGCACCCTCAAGAACATCGATTTGAGCGTTTATAATGAAAAAATAAAAAACATGACAGAGAAATTTCGGGCACTTGATGCATTTAAAGAGGGTTACAGAGCACTGGCGAGTGCTAACAAGGAATTAATCAGGTACAGGGAGGAGTACGAGGATTTACAGTTGAGAAATGGGGTGCTCACAGAGATGGTGAAGAGAGGGGAATTGGAAAGGATAAGCATGCATTCGGTTGGTTGTGAGCATCACAGCGATGTCAATTCTGTTCAGGGAGAAGAGGGGCGGAATGATATCAATGAACGTTTTGTCAAAGACAGACACACACGTGGTACTGAACAAAAAAATGGTGCTCTCTCCGATAGTACCTCGAATAGCAAGGTAAGAGGTTATTCAGCGACAGGTACATGCGCTGTGGGTGTCCGTTCCTTTAGCACGGGGTGTAAGGAGGGAGTTGAGGTGAATTTGATCGATTCAGGATGTAAAAGAAAAGTGGAGAATGAAAGGGTGCATAGGACAAGGGACGAGCAGGAAGACAAAAAGTATTCGTTAGAGGCGAAATTGCCGAGATGTACTCGGTTCAAGGACAGCGTGCTTATAAAGACGGAGCGCATGATTGAGCTGGAGAGTGAGGTTGAAAGGCTGCTCAGGAACAACAACGAATTGAAGGGACGTATTGCGCAAATGGATGGTGATAAAATGTGCTACGAAAGGAAGGTTGCAGGGATGAAAGAGAAAATGCTTGATTTTAATTACTATATCAACACGATGATAAACAACATAAGAATTACGCTCCATGACATTGACATTGTATCGTTGTACAACAGGATGAACAAGGAGATACGTACGATGAAGAAGTTGCTGAAGGTGCGTGAGCAGGAAAAGAAGGAAATAGAACTGATGAACACCACCGAGGTAACGATAAGGAAGAAACTGGAAAAAGAGATACTACGGCACAAAGCCGAGATAAAACGGTTGAGAGCGAGGGGCGAGATTGACATTACGTTCAAGATTAGGATTAATGGAGAAAAGACACTGCTAAGGATCGAGAAGAATCAGCTGTATTTGCTTGATATCGTGGAAAACCTGAGCAACAGCGTAAGTGCCAATCTGAGCAAATCCGAGAAGCTGCGTTATAAGAGAAAGAACGTTGTAAAATTGGTGTTTATTGAGGAGAGCACCTCTTCAGCGGTGCACACACGCTCACGGTCACAGCTCTTAGAAGAACTGCGCAAGGAGAAGAGGCTGTACGCCTCGATAGAGAGGCTGAGTGCGATGCATACGGGTAGGATGTTAGAGAGAACAAAGACGCAGCTTGAAGGGTCTCTCAGGAAAATAAAGTACCTCGAGGCAGAAATTGAGAATGCAGATGAAAGCGGTACGCAAGAAGAGGGTACATCCCGTGAGGGTGTCGTATTCTATGACGGCCACGTATTCGTGCACGAAAAGGGACTGAGCGGTTACTGCAATTTCTGTGATGAGCCCCATTACAGCATCAGTCTTGCGTGTGAGCAGTGTGGTATAACGGTGCATAGGCAGTGTTACATGTTGGCAATGTCGTGCGATATGTGCAAGTCTGTGAAGAAGGGAAGGAGTTTTATGGTTGAGATGAGGAACTTTGAGGAAGCAGAGCGTTTAGTCAAGATTTTAAAGAAAGACGTGTGATTGCAGGGATTGGACTGTGGTACTAACGCTCCACTGTACTATGCTGTGCCCTGCCGTATTGGCACCTTACACCATATCACACTTCCCATCATACCACCCCTTACGCCATGCTTGTACCGGTAAAATACCTCATTTCCACAGGTATGCAGGTGATCTACGCAGTGAATGACAAAAATACTTTGTTTCAGTATTTGAATGGAGTATTGCTGTATGGCACGCTCCGTGAGCGGCAAGTGCTGATGCTTTCTTTATGATTTGTACATACCTTACCGTACAAGCGTACTAAACGGTGTTGGTCCATTGCTGTCCGCTTCACCCTTGATATACGAGAACAGCGAAAGAGAAGGGTGCAATTACCACGTTTGATGTGCCGTACTACGAACTATGCTTGGATACAAATACGATACACCGGTGTAACGGTCCGGTAATGAACTTGTGACATATCCTTGATACGTTCGCCGTATGTGTTGGTATTAAACACGTTGTTCGATGATCTTCGTACCGTTGTCGTTGTGCTTTCGTACCGTTGACAAAACGTCTTTACGTTGGTACACCAAAATTTTTGTTTTAGCCCCCATGCGTTCATCACCTCATTTAACGAAGCGAAAATTTACAAACGCTCAAAAAATCATATTAGGCACGCTCACACACAAAATGGATGATCTTCTGGTGCTCAAACTGGTCACGAAGGACGTGCCGTATCCCAACACGAAAGTGTATGCCGAGAGGGGTGTAGGCACGGTTGATGAAATATTTGGTAAGTTGGATGAGATGTACTGCAGTGTAAAAGGATTGAAGGATGGTAAGCATTTCTATGTGGAGGATAATCGGTTCATATCACGGGATAGGTTGGAGAGTGGAGGGCTGGCGGTGAACAACAAAGGGAAGAGAAAAAATGAAGATAGAGGTAAAATGGGGACGAGAATGAATTTTAAGGGGAAGAAGGAAGAGGTGGTTAAAGATAGTGGGTATAACTTTAAGGTTGGGAGAAAGAATAAAAGACGGTAGAATGAAGGTGGTGTACCGTTGATAAATTATTTTGGGTGTTTCATTGCTTTTGTGTTTTTGTATTTTTATGTGTTTTAATGGTGTTTGCACCTTTGTTCGTACGTTTCAGCTCGTACGTTTCAGCTCGTACTTCAGCTCGTACGTTTCAGTTCGTACTTCAGTTCGTACGTTTCAGCTCGTACGTTTCAACTCATCAACACTACAACTGTTCGAATCAATCCGCTATATCAACATTAAATAAAGAAACCTTCTTAAGCAACAAGCACAGCACTTGTTAACATATCAATACGCACCAACATTCGTACTTTTCCACAAATTGATTGTATCTTTACTCTAACCATCTCTTCATTTTATTTTTCCTTTTTTCTTCCATTCAATATTCCTGTTACAGCTCTGTCTTAAGGAACACAATTGAATCCCATCACAAGTTCTCTACATCCATTTAACAATCAATTAAGTACGTGAAGCACTGAGAAGTGATCCTGATGTGTACTGAGTACCGAAATAAACGTAAGAAAGCGGAAAACATTATTTGCAGCTTTGAACGATGATAAAAATAAATTTACTTGCTATCTCAGTCACACCTCACTTGCAGAACAACGCTTGGCGCCATCTCTGTGTGTTGAGGAACGGTAAAACGTAGCTGTGCTATACCTCTACGTAATAAGGAAGAAATACATTCTTGAGAAGAAGAAAGGAAGTGTTGTTGAGTGCAAATAAATTTAAAATATTTATTGAGATGAAAAAAGTGCTTTTAGCAGGCAAAGTTTGAATTGTTTATTGTTGAGCGTTGTGGTGGTTAAGTGATAAATTGAAGTACTTTCTGAAAAGAGGTATGAATGTTCTTATTGCAGGTGTATTACCTCTCATATCACAGAATGGTAAGGCACAAGCTCATAATGCACTGTTTTTTGGTATAATATCGTTAGAGACGAGAAATATTCTAAATAAATATTTATTTGTTAATTAAGTACCTAATATTTCCTGAAAATTGAAATATATTGGTGATATATTAAAATAAGACATGATGTAAGGTATTGGTGATTATCTGACACGCCTTTGTTCGGCTCATTGGACTTTCATGTTCAATTGCTGCTGCTGGTAAATGATCATAAAGCGTATGGAAAAGCATCCATACCATGGTACAAGCGCCTATGCCCATAAACACTTTTGTGGTTACATTCTGTTTTAATTGAACAGTATGCACATTTAAGGATAGGTTGGTGTTAAATTAAATCGTTAAACATACTTCCATCCGGACGTACCACCAAAATAGAAGCATGCATGGTTATTAGCTGAGGCGTAGCACAGAAATACGCGCTCAAACAAATAATTTGCAGATTTACCGCTAACCGTGGCATAAAACCTGCGGCTGATAGTGGAACGCAAAGGAATAGCACACAAATCAAAATAAAGTTGTGAGCATTGCGTTATATCCCCTCCAGGGGACATCGAACTAAGACAAATGCTGATCATACCAATCTGTCAATATTTGATACGGTGCTTGGATATAAACGTGCCAATTTATCGATTGAATACCTCATTTATCACACATTTATGAATTTCGGTTTAATCAATTTTGGCAATTTATAAAAGGTTGAATCGCTCTTGGGCACAATGAAAACAGAGCATCTTATCAGCGTAAAGGAACGGATGGTGTACATTACGTTGTTCTGCATACAGTCCCTCGTCGAAATAGTGTTCTTTGGCCTGTCACTGTACTTTGAGTCAAATATGAAACGCAATTCACTATACACGGTCAAGGGATCAACGCTTCTTCTTGGTAATTTGTTCCTGATCGAGGCCATCATGTTGAAAAATCCTAATCACATATATTTGTACGCGATAATATACGCTTATACACTCTCCTCGGCCTTTCTTGGCGAAGCAAAAGAACCCGGTCTCTCTCTGGCTTTCCGAACAGCAGTCGTGGGAACATTGTTATTGAGAGGATTGATGGTGTGCATACTGTTCCGAAAAATAAGGCAGGTATTTGTTTGGTATTCTTTCAAAAAACTTGGCCCAAGCACAGAATTGATTGGTAAGTTCATTTTCTAATTTAAGAAGCTAATAAGGTAAGTCACATATTTAATTTTGACCAGGCAACAAGTCATAGTTATCTTCAAACTGTACATACTGTTCGGGATCATAAAATCATTTCTTCCGCTATTGGTGATGAAGTATGGTAGGGTCCTTTTTACGTTGCATATCTTTTGCAAAGTATCAATCTACATCATATACCAGACATACAAACATGAAGAGAACCGTGTAATGTATAGAATATTGTACATGTTGATCGCTGCTGAAGTTATAATCACAGTAATAGACACACTTGTCTACATTTACCATGGTGATGAGCTGAAACCGTAGGTGCATTTTCTAATTTGTTTAATATTTCTGACAAATGGATTTAAAATACTGACAACTTTGCTATTTTTATTCATTCTTATCGATGATGAGCAGAATTTCGGGGCCGGTCTGAAGGAGTACGTGCTATAGATGGAATATGAGCGGTTGGAGAAAGAGGAGTAAGAAGTGCTTCCATTAAAGCTTTTGTGTAACAAAAACACGTTTTATAGTTTAGTACACATAAAACATATTCTTGTGTTGATCATGTATAAAGAGCGCATACAAGTTTGTTTAGTTAAATTATTTTAGCGTAATGTCGTATCTAAACATTGCTGAGAATCGTACGGTGAGCAAGGAACATTCATTGCATCATAATAATTATCAGGGTTGCTGCTGCCTACGCCAACCTTGAATAAAATCTTCTTCCCAATCGGTGAATATCGATGACTACATCGTTGCTATTCATCAACAAATTGTGATTTACCTGAATCATAGGTGCTCAATAACGGCCTGTTTTTGTCAATACTAGGTAAAGTGTCTCGTACACTGACAACAGGGATATTTAGCTAAACCGCCCATAACTTGAATCGATATGCGTGTTCTTACTGGTGTAAACTGCCGATACCAACGGAGGAATAAATGCTATTCAGATCGTTTGATACCCGCGACGAGACTGTTTTTATCCGTTGTTGAGAAAATAATTTACAAAAAGAATAATAATGAAACTGCAGAGTCACGCTTAGAGCTTGCTACAAACACAGTCCTAAAATAGGAATCGGGGTAGCAGAACTAGAACGCTTACGAGCAAGTTACGGTTATAAACGTTAACAAAGGTATCACTTTATTTCTAAGGGATCGATTCGTGCTTACAAGGCTGTCGTAACTTTTTACTCACATTTCATCCATTTTTCATGTTTGTCCCGAATGAACCAGCAATACAGCACGGTTAGATATTTGGAGGTTGGGGTGGGCAATGACACAGAAAATGATAATTAGCGTACAGAGCAAGGATGTTTGTTCAGCTCTAGCAGATAAAAATAGTTGGTGCTGTTGCTGGCCACAAGTTCGATCGTAAAATTGTTTGAAGGCTTGTAAATGGTGCCGTTTAGTCCACTAGTCAATTAAATGCGTGGCTTGGATTGAGCCGTCAGAATATAAAAACCACTGAAAACTGTTTAATCGCATGTATTGTTTAGATGTAACATAAATAGTTTTTGTGCGATTCAGCATTTTGGCCATGTATAGGAAAAATTTTTGCTATTTTTTGGTGTAGCAAGCACTGCATAACATCTTTTTGCTATTTTTTGGTGTAGCAAGCACTGCATAACATCAATTTTCATTTATTTGTTCGTAGAAAAATTTGTGATAATTTGCAGATCAAATATTTTTGATCGCAACGAGTGGATGAAGAACCAAATACAGATGCTAGCAGGAATTCAGTGTTGAAATTTATCTTTAGTGATTTACCTGTGCGATGCATATTCTTGTTCAAACTTCCTTTTTATGATGTGTTGGCCATAAATGTGGCAAAAGTGTGCTATTTTTATTTATTTCCTTTATTCTATGCTAAATTAACAATACAACTGCAGATTTGTTTATTGAGATAGGCTGAAAATAACTTGTTCAATGTCTTACGGGTGAAATGGATTGATACTGTTAAAAGGCCATTATATCTTTATTTACGCTTACTTTACAATTTAACATGCCGTTCCCTTCAATCTATCCAGGTTATGTCAATAAAAACGACTGAGAAAAAACATAAACCACATCTCACAGCCATGGTTACGAAATTTTACTGTTACGAGTCCAGCTAAATAACAAAAAATATACGAAGTGAAGCCAAAGCCTAGAAAATACACTAGCTGCCATGGTTATACTGAGTTCAATAAAAATTTTACATTGTGTCGAGAGATACAAATATGCCTTTATTTGGAAGATAGATGAAATATTCAATTAACACCAAAATTTTTGTGCAAAACCATATATGAGCTGCTTGAATGTCCATATTTAAACGGAGTGCGCACTGATATCGATATCTGTTGCTTCTAACACCAACTACACTGGGTGTGCTGCATAATATTATCGCACTATTTGTTCGAGATCAGAGATGCAGAAAAGTGATCTGATGTAAAAGTTTTTATGGCGTAAGATCAGTTTTCTCGTTTATTAAACCAAGTTGGATCGCTAGTTAGATCGAATTGCTGTATAAATGTTTAGTTATACTACCAAAAGGTAAGAAAAATGTTTCAAAATGTATAGGCGGTTTTCGGTGTAAAAACATGTGCTTTATTCATAATTACTCGTTTTAACTGCATCTACTCTAATATATCATCCAAATTTATCACTCCTTACAAATTTGTTAAATTCATCTGCTAAATTTAATTAAAGAATTATTATCAGTTTCTGGATGTATATAAGCTGAGCAGAAACTATGAGAACAACTGCATGATGAACGAAGGAAATGTTACGAACGAGAAAAAACAGATGTCATATGTTATGGTGTTCTGCGTGCTATTGGTCCTTGAGGTGACCTTTTTTGGAATGGCGGTGTTTTTCACGACAAACGTGCAATTTAAATCGGTGTATCTGCTGCATGGATCGGCGAGTCTTTTGGGCAACTTCTTTTTGGTCGAAGGAATTATTATCAAGAATTTCGCACAAATAAGTTTGTATCCCATAATATATTTTTACACACTGGCCAACATTTTCATAAGCGATTTTAAGGGTATAGGACTGTATTTTGCGTTTAAAATTGCACAAGTAGGCGTATTCGTGCTAAGAGGATTTTTTGTGTTCCATGTGTTTAATCGCCTTAGATTGGAGTTTGCATGGCACTCTTTTAAAAGATTGGGAACAAGTCCACAGATAATCGGTAAGTATATTTTCTAATTTTAGAGGCAAATAAGGTAAGTTGCATTACTAATTTAGATCAGACAAAAAACCTTAGTCGTTTTCAGACTCTACATGTTTTATAGCATCGTGAACACATTCCTGCCCATGCTCATTATGCCACATGGCAGGATAATGTATACCTTGCACATTGTTTTCGAATTTTTAATTTATTTCAATTTTCAAACGTTTAAAAACGAGGAGAGCTACATCGCACGAAAAGTACTGTACACGTTGATTATGATTGAATTCATATTGACCATAATAGACTGTGTCATTTACGGACTTTCCGATGCTCCTCTTGAATAGTAAGTATATTTTCTAATTTATTTGTATGGTATACGTTAGTAGCGGGTTCAAGCTGTTGGTTATCGGGATGCTCTCTGTCATGTTGGTCAGAGATGAGCGTAGATTTGGCAGTGGCCTGAAGGAAGTTCTTTTCAAAAAGTCGCAGTTAAGCTAGTAAAGAGGGCGCAATGAACAAATAAATCGCTAAAATTAACACCGTAATGATTAGCTTATTGCAGTTGATTTCAGCGCTCAGAAATCAATCGCTCAGCCACATCACAAGCATTTTCATTGTCAACTCTACCGCTTGACCGGATGTTTTTTACGATAAGTCCCATAATCTCTCGCTGAGTAACAGATTAATTCATTAGTATTTATTGCTAAATTAAAGCTATAAATCCATCTGAAATATTTCTAAACCTGGATAAGTGGTTAAAAACATGCGTTAGAACGAAAATAGTGCTGCTAAAGGTTAAATTAATATTTTTGGATTAGCCGGTATCTCTCTGATTTAAAACCCGGTCTCTATTCATAACAGCGTCAATATCTACCAATTCGAGTAGCACCTGTCTATTTGTTAGAGATATCGTGTCGATCTGTATTTATTTCGAGGTCATTCAGAGTCTAAGCAATTTAAACCGTAAAGCCATAGTATATACACGATTCAGGTTTTGACCAAAGCATACCAATCCCTTTTCGTTGCATTGTATTCTCAAACAGGTGTGAATCATCTGAACCATAAGAGCCTTAACCATTATTACCAGGTATAAGCTTTTAACGGTTTAAGTTCCTCTTTTGTGAAGTACGAAACGTCGTTTGTAATCTAAAACACCTGACGCCAATCTTTCAACATCGAATTTCATCTTTTTGAAAGGCTGTTTAATTATGATTTCACACAAACTTGTCTGGCACAACGAGAGCCCCACTATGGCCCGAGAAACCCTTGGTTCACAGAGTAAATCACTCGTCCAAAGGACTACTGATAAGCATTGTAGTTTTGCTCATTGTACTCTCAAAGCAGCTTACACTTGCTCCGTTATAAAGGCATACCGATTGGTTAGATAATCTACATTCAGCCCACCTACCAAGAGCGGCTTTCAGTTTCATTTGATTCCTGCAATACCGTGAAACTGGTACTTAAGAGCTGACACCAACAAGTCATCGCGTTGTTTGCATCAACATGCGCTAGCTGGGTCATCGAACAGAGCAGAAATGAATTACACAGTATCTTTGATTGTAAAAAAGCTCGGGATACCGTATGCGATGGTTTAAAAGACATGGGCGTATAAGAAAGCCTTTTTGATTAGATAAGGCACCATATTGGCCCTTAAAAAGCAATCAGCAGACATAAATTAGAATGAATAATACTTTAAGGGCTAGATAGTTTGCAAGACTGGTTAATTTTTCTTAAACGGCAGTGGTATGAACTTGGTACCTAGACCATAGTTTCGTGTTTTATTTATCAAATGATAGATTGAAAACCCTCCTATTGAATGCACCTGGGCCACCTCGTATTAATCAAGCAATAAAACATTTAAATAGAATCGCACCGAAACTACCGTTGTTGGTAAAAAGTTGTACACAAAACGCAAATTCGTATTTTTTACACCACTCTAACTTGTTTAGAATAATCAATTAATGATGACGTTTATGTTTAATAGCAGCGTTCAGAAACGCTTAATCCATAGTATTATTCCTATACGCGGGATTATTAAATTCGTTTTTCTAGATTTATCCGGTCTGTGTAAGGTTTTAATGTATCATGTTGTTTATCATTGCTCAAAGATATTAATCCACGTTAATTTGGTAACATTATTATTAATTAGTAAGTATTTATATAATCAGACACGCACCGCTACAGAACATGATAAACAGTGAATCGCCAATAGAAGAACAAAGAAACATAGCATATGCCACTATATTTTGTGTGTTTGTGATTTTGGAGATCACATTTTTTGGTATGGCCGTGTACTTTTCTCGCGAGTCGACACATAAATCCACATTCCTGGTGCACGGTGCAACGCTTCTATTGGGGAACTTTTTCCTACTGCAGGGAATTATCACGAAAAATATCGTACAAATATGCACATATCCTATTCTGTACTGCTACACGTTTGCCATAACCTTTTTGAACAGCTCTTCGGCTTTAGGACTGTATTTTGTATTCAAAATGGCACATACCGGTGTACTGGTACTGAGGGGACTCGTTTTGTGCTATGCTTTCAACCGGCTAAGATTGGAATTTAGTTGGTACTCTTTCAAAAAACTGGGTCCAAGCTCACGAGTGAATGGTAAGTCGATTTTCTAATTTTAGAAGCAAATAAGGTAAGTTACAATATTAATTTAGATCAGACAGCAAGTAATCGTCGTGTTTAGACTCTACATATTCTACAGTATCATAAACAACTTCATTCCGCTGTTCAGGGTGTCATACGGTCGAGGAATTTATGTCATGCACATCGTCTGCGAACTGCTAATCTACGTCAATTTTCAGACGTTCAAAGATGAAGAGAGCAAAATCGCACGTAAAATACTTTACATTCTTATTGTTTGGGAGTTTGTACTTGCTGCGTTGGACATTATTATTTACGGAATTATCGATGTGGATATTGAAAGGTAAGTTTAATTTCTAATTCTCGCATAATATACGTAACAAGCGGGTTTAAGATAGTAGTCTGTGCGATATTCTCTGTTATATTGGTGAAAGACGAATGCTATTTTGGGAGTGGTCTCAAGGATATTCTTGAAAGGAGATCATTGATAAATACGTGAGAATGGATGAATAAAGAGCAAGTGATTATTTGAACGTGCTTAAGCATTTAATTGCATCTTTGAAATGATCGGTATTATCCTGTACGATAATCTATCACATAAAGCATTCTAAACCGGTTCTCGCTTATGTTTGAGTAAGCACGTTATACTCTTGCTTTACTAACCCGTGGACACTTAAATTTTGATTGACACCAATCACGGCTCACGGTTTTGTTAAAACCGGCATTTGAGATTCGTTGGTGTGTCAAGCAGGTAAGTTTACGGGTTTCATCGAAATGCATCGGTTCAATTACAAAATGAGTGCAAAACTTAAAAATCGTTTCAATTAATTAGGCTGGAAATATACAAATTAGACGAAAATGATCGTATTTTGGCACAAGCGGTTTTGTGCATCTGGCGAACAGTTGGAGAGTAATGTCATGTAAGCTGCAGTTGGTGCGTTAGGATCGCCACTGCGGTTTATGTTCACACGTCTGCTATTATGAAAACGTGCGCAAAGTTTTTGTGTGAGCTGCTTCACCAGATTGGAGCCTGAATCAAGAGCCAGCGGCTCAGTCAGTCCATACGAACCAGAAAAGTAAGCTTTTACGTGCATTATAAGAAGGCAAACAGACGTATACTCAGTGAAAAAAGTTCAACAAGCTTTTTGCTCGCTTGCTTTAATTAAAAGTTTCCTTTTGGTCAATTGAATTGGCAATCTTAGTGGAGTATCGGGTAGTAGGTGCTTGAAGTAAATTTTATTGCCAGCATTTTATCAACGCCAAAATTTGTGTGACAACATGCGTTTTCGTCTACAACGATGTGGCAGGGGCAAACTTTTAGCATTGGTCGAAGCTGTGAGTCGTGCGGCAAACTTGATGGAAAAGCTTATACAACAAATTAAACATGAACAGCATACTGCCAATAAATTGATTGGAATGCAGTCATGGCAAGTTGTGCGCATTCATTTCTGAATTAAATGACTAAATCATGTAATTAACTGATTAATCGATTTATTGTGTGCAGGAGATACAGTTGAGATTGCCACATATAAAACCGTGCAATACTACACGTTATGGATGCCAGTTGTCGTCGTTTGTTCATCTTTGGTTAGATGAATATATTTCCTATCCCGAAGGACCTGTTGGTCGAGAACCAGTGTGTGCACACGGACCACCAACATGAGGGCTATGTTTCTGTGGCATAGGCAAGGTTTTTCTAAAAATAAACTTTGGCAGGCGGGCAGACATGCATTACCGATTTGATAAGAATTCTGTGATTGAAAATAAATCATGATTTATTCGCCATTTGCAATCAATAATCTCATAAACAAGAAAATTAAACATGATTTGTTAATTACACACCTTAACTGATTAATAAAACAGTTGATCATTGTCTTACATACATATAATAATTGAAAGAGTCGTGTCCCTGATAATGCCTCTGAAGACCGGCAACATTTACAATTCGAAAATTGGCATCATATACATATTCTCGATATTCACGTTGCTGGAAATATCACTGTATGGAATCAATGTCTACTTCATACCCACAGTAATTCCGGATTATCCATTTACGGTTTATGGTGCCTCACTAATCCTCGGAAATTTCTTCCTAACAGAAGCTATTATAACACGGAATATCTATCAGATGTGTATATATCCATTTTTATATGCATACACACTCTCGGTCAATCTTCTGAACATAACACACCACAACAACATATCTCTGGCATGTCAAATGGTGCTTATTGCAATAATAGTACTCCATGGTGTATTGTTTCTTATGAAATTTAGGGATTTTTTCTACGAATTCTCATGGTACTACTACAAAAAAATAGGCGGGCGTCAGGAAATAATAGGTAAGTCAATTTTTCTAATTAGAAGTGAATAGGGTAAGTTAACTTTTTTAATTGAGGTTAGAGAAAATACTATAGTGTTTTTCAAGCTCTACATTATTTTTGGCATTTTAAAAAGCATATTGCCGTTGACTCAGATACCTTTTAAGGTGACTCTGTTTGCTATTCAAGTATCCCTACGTGTTATTAGCTTCATCTGGTTCCAGACTTTCAAACACACTGAAATATCTTGGGCCAGAAAAATACAGTATGTTCTTGTGGGCACAAAGCTAATCACAACGATCTTTGAACTCATCATGGTCAGTCTTCATGAAGTTCCAAAAAGAGCGTAAGTTATTTCTTTCTAATTTGAACAATTTTCCTGACAATAGGCTTCAAAATAGTTACATTGGTAGTACTTCTTGTTTTTTTGTATTTAGACGAACGAAACTTCGGCAAAGGGCTCAAAAAAGTTCTTGGTGTGTATCAATAGATTGAGTTCGTGATGTGGACTGAATAAACCCTGATGTAACTACAAGACTTTTTACTGTTTCACAAATCAGGTGATACGCACTTGTTTTGCCAATATACATTATCCGATACAATGGTAGGTTGGATAGACCGAATCTCTTACATTGAGACACATGTACCACTTAATTTCGTGTAATACTTTTCTAGTTTGCAGCATCAGATTAAATCAGCAGCATGTCAACCAGTCGAGCGACTTTTACAGACTAAAAATTGACATGTTATCCATTAAAATTTACAGTTCTGACCGCTAATCAAGCAATCGAATAACTTGCATATTCAAATTTACGTCACAAGCTAATCTACATTTGAAAAACGGCTATATTTTGTAATATTAGTTGTATCATCAATTCGTATATAATCTAGCATATCTATATTGCCAAGAAGTGAGCCCGAGCTTCAAATATTAATTAGAACCACAGATATTACCTTGTTCTAAACAAGAAATTACAAATGATCGTATGATAATTCTCTTAGAGGATATGTTCACGGCTTTATTACCAAACAAATTGCTGCAAATATGAATTTACAAAATATACTGTCCACTAGAAATAGATGCAAATACTTGCAACGATTAGGTGGAGTGGCAGTGTCTTACATGCACGATAGGGTTAATCATCAATACGCCAGAGCTGAGATCATTCGAAATTGATATTATTCCTACAGTTTAACAGTTTTCTACCATTAATAATACAATACCATTTTGTTTAGGGTCGTGTCATGTTTAGCGCCAATAATGTTGAGTTGTTAATAAATAATGTCAAAACAAGTTTCTTAATTACGAATATTTTTAGATAAATTTATTAGATTAAATCAGCAAAACCAAGAAATTTAGCTGAAAATACGGTTTTACTTCGTTTTAAAGCGCAAAAATGTACTCTGCACATCCTATTACAGCTACAGAAACATATTTTTTGATTTATATCAGCGATACAGAGTGCTCGTTAGTGTACAAATTATCAAACGGGTTCCGGAACCAGCGAATTTATCACTAATTTAGACGTACTTTTATACAAATGGTAAAATAAAAAGTTTATGTTGGACAGCATTTCATTTCTGGTTCTGATTTATAATAAAATGAAAACCGTCTTTGCATAAATGCCAAGGACAATCTCGCAGCTACGCGGATAGTCGTGTAAAACAACCCTAGCCTTTTTTCGTGTTAAACGTGTATCCAGCAGCAGGTCGCTGAAAACCTAATCTTATTTCTCTCTAAGTACGCTTTCCAAGGCCCATTAACCCAAGAAATTTTCTTACCCTTATGAAGGAATATGATATCACAGTTTACGGAGCCAGTGGCTTTACCGCACGACACATAATATCGCATCTACAGAAGTATCCGTTACGTATCGCCCTGTCAGCACGCACGCCCTCAAAAATACAGCATAATCCGCAGAATTACCCCGTGATACAGTGCGATACAGATAACCTGGAAATCATTACAAGTAAGTCCGTCGTACTCCTAAACTGCGCTGGGCCGTACATACGGTGCGGGGAGGCTGTAGTTGAATCCTGCATTGACAACAACTGCCATTACGTGGATATAACGGGTGAAACAACGTTCATCAACAATATCATAAAGAAGTTTGGTGAGAAGGCTAAGGAACAGAACGTGTACATTCTAAACTGCTGCGGGTTCGACTCAGTGCCCTGCGATATTTCGTTTGACATGTTAAAGAGAAGAATTGAGAGCAAGCTAAAAAATGATAAGCAAGTTGGAGATGGAACGAACCAAAGGGATACTGATAAAAGGCAAGCAGATGACTCAAATAATGTAAAGGGAGCTGATATTTTGAAAACCATCAATAACAGCGTGCCTAATATGCACGGTGTAAGTATTTATAATTTCCTGAAATTCAAGGATGTGAAGTGCAATTTTGCTACTTTTGAATCGCTTGTCCATGGACTTGCGAGCCATTTTAACAAGCCAAAACAAAGTGCACGCGAAGGTAGGCGTTCCAAGACACCAAGCAAAATAATTTACAGCAAGGAAAGGAAATGCTATTGTGTAATATTCATGGGCACCGATCATTCTGTCGTAACACGCAGTCAGAAGGCATTTTATGAGATCAACGACATGCCCATTGTAGATTTCTATATTTACATGGAGGTTGGTGGACTGTTTGGCGTTATAGTTTTCATGTTTTTCTTTACGCTCATTTTCTGGATGGCAAGATCGGAGCTTGGAAGAAACATTCTTCTGAAGTATCCAGGGTTTTTTACCTGTGGACGGGTGAAGCACGGGCTAACGAGGGAGGAAATCGACAAATCGTCATTTGAAATGAATTTATATGGCTATTACCAGACAGCGGATAGTGCAGCAGCGCAAAATGGCGAGCATTCTGGGCGTCAAATGGAACACTTGTCCGTCAGAGGACCTGATCCAGGATATAAAACCACACCCATTTGCATGGTGGAGTGCGCGATCCTTCTTCATGACCGGATTACTAACTCAAAAAAGCTTACGCTGTGTGATGGCGGTGTTGTCACACCAGCCATGCTTTTTTACGATACTGAACTCGTTAACAAGCTTAACGAAGAAGGCATCGTCTTTTCGTTTGAATAAAGGTTGGCTTACATGTTAGCATAGTTTTATCTGTACGCGATCCAACGTATGTCCCGCCACATGCTCATTTGCGGGTCTTGAGCCATGTTTTACTACTATGTATCGGTAGCAGTTGTTTACATCCTCGTGAACGACAGGATTTAAGGGTGTCCTTTCCATCGAAGTAGGTTGATAAAACGGACACGAACGTGATCAGGCCTAATCATGTAAAAATAGCAACTAAAGTTGACAATTTCTAAGAAAACATACAAGATGAGGTGTTAGAAACCAAAGAAAAAAGTATGTGTGTTGTATTTAGGTAAATAACTTTTATTCGTGTCTCTGTCTCTTCACAGCATTCAAGTCTTAATCCTTCTTCTCTTTCGTCTCCGTGACCATGAAGGGAATACCGCTGGGGACACCTCTCAGGTACTCCTCATGATCCTTATAAATCTCGTCCAGAGCAGAAAAGGACTGCGCATTTTTTTTGAGGTACCACACAAGAACGGCAAGAGAAACAAACGATGATAGATACACACAGGACCCAGCCATAAAAACAAGCAAGGAAGAGTGCAATGGATGTCTTACAACAGAGAAAAGACCGGTGAACGGCGTGTTTGTGTTATTCATTTTACACGACAGCAGGGAATAGACAAACGCGGCAACCCCAGCAATGGTAATCAGCCCGCCTAGTATGCTAAAAACCCTGTATCTCAGGTAGCTCTGCACAAAATAGTGCTCTAAAACTTGTGCAAACACAAAGTACAGCAAGTCGTGTTCTTTGATGCGCATCTCGAGTTTTAAAGTATTTGACGTATAAATGTAAAGGAAAAGAAGAAGCGTACAGAGAGAAAGCACCGTTGTGCAGGGGGTGTTGTAGCGCAGTAAAAGAACGTGTAAGGTGCCGAGAAGGAAGTACAAGCAGGAGGACGACATTTTTTCGGGGTATGGGAAAAAACGAGATTTTGAGGATTTAAAGGAGCGTAGAGCTGTGATGAACGAAGAAACTGATCTAAAATCGATTGGAGCACGGGTGTGCAGTTGCACTCGTTTAATGCGGCGAAGGAATAGCCGGCATAACACTTATAGGTGTTGTATGGTTGCTGTGATTGGTTCCGCACCATGATAAAGTATGTTTCTGATAAGGATGAGACGCAAAACATACTTACTATTCTAGCAGGGCCGGCGTGTGTTCCCTCCTAAGATACACGCTTTGGCTCAAATCTGTGAGTGAGGGAAAATTGTCAAAATTACAGGTATGCTTGATCAATTTAACGATTACAAACCACCAATCCGACAAGGTGCCCATTCAGCGCATTACTTTTGTCTCTGTTATCAGCTGTGGTTGTTAATCAAGTGCTTTATTCATCTTACAACGCAGTTCTCCGTCAATATCCACCGCAACCCATGCATCTACACACGCTGCATTCAACAATCTTCTCATGCTCCAGATTACGCTGCGGCACTCTGCAAATACACACCTTTTCTTTGCTCTTGTCCTCGGAATATACACAAAGTATGCAGCACAAGCTCTCATATCCTTGTTTCTGCCAATAAATTGTCAGCGGCACGTCCACGTATTGGTTCTTGCATAGAAACGAGTAGAGCGAGGATGTGATCTCACCATTTCTGTACTTCGTGTATATAAGACGAGATCGTTCATGGACGTATTGGAATATGTTGGTCCTGTTGAGCGCATTTATGTCCTTTTCTATTTTTTGGTACTCCACCGGAAAATTTTTAACAATTTTGGTCATTTCGTGTGAACGGGGCTAAATCGTAAAATGGTATTGAAATGGGTGGATCAAATCGGTACTTGCCGTAGTGACTGGACATGCGGAAAGATACGGCATGGTACAGCAGGGGCTTGGATGATTTGTAAAATAGCAACCTATGCTCTTTGAGTTGCTTTTAAAAGGTTTTCGTTTTCGAGACTTCGGCAGAAACTTTAACTTTTATAAAATTAAGAGAAGCCGGGATGCACGCAGATTTGTTCATTTCTATCATCAATTTTTGTCCGTCTACCGGCGCGTTCATTCGTAGATGTAAGCCGGAATGCATTGATGTCTTGCAAAGAGGATTTATTGATTGCGCGTAATGACGGGTCTCTGCTCTTTTTCATAACCTCAATTTATTGAATTGAGACATTTCATAGTGATTGTTCGAGAATTTCTGCCACTTTATTGTCTATGATACTATTTTCAAACATTTTTCATTCTTCAATCCAGGGTCACGTAGTTCCTAACCACCATGTGCTATCGGCTATTCAAATGCATTTGCGATATCTGTTGGTTGTTTTTACCATATTTGAAGAACGTTATATTATTAAAACAGGAAAGAACCTATTGAAACTGAATAACCCGAAAAAATCACAACAAGTTTTAGGTTGTGTAACAAATATAAAAAGGGAAAGGAAAGACGCCGATATGACGAATGAGAATACAAAAAGCGGTCACGTGAAAACTTCTGATAAAAATGCCAAGGACGCAAGAAAGATCACACAAGAGAAACTACGGGCTGCAACGCGCGAAAGAAAACTAAGCGAAATTCCAATTGACAAGAGCAGCACGATGAAGATAAATGAATTTTATGGTACTGAGGTTGTCTTAGACATCGATGAAAACGAAATGAGAGAAGCAAACAACGAGTTCAGATTCCTGAGGCGAGGAAAGAACGAAGAAGGCAGTGCAGAAATAGTAGATGTTGAACAGGCCGACGGTGATAAGATGCTTGGTGGGGATGTATGTGCATCCGTAATGGGCAATGAACCAAGGGCAGTGGAAAACAGCATCGGTCCTGTCGTCAATGATCCACCAGCGAATCATATTTTTGATCACTCGGCAGGACCAAGCATTGTCTTGAAACAAATACCATTTGAAAAGAAAACTGGGCTCCATGTCAATGCACCATCACAGCACTCCTTTGCACAAAAAAAGACATCCAAACCAAATATTCCTAAGAAAATCAGAAAGAAGCACGATGAGACGCTCGCAACAACGTTCAAAAGCTTTTTTTCGTCCTTTACACCCAAGAAGAAAAGCACAAAAAATGCCAGAGATGGTAAAAAGGCTGTCTCTGGTACCACAACAAAAGCATCTGAAAGCATGACTTTTATGAAATCAGAAATGAGCCTGGACGAGCTGAAAATGTTTCAAGGGCGGGTGAAACAGTTGATAGAATATTTTGAGAAACTCAAAGAAGGGAATAACTGCTAGCGCGAATGAAATGCTTAGATCAATAAAAGTATTTTATAACCTCTGCCACAAAAAAGGTTAGTGACCAATCGGTACACATCGTCGTACATGTTTGTAATATCTCGCCGCTATGGGGCAATCAACCACAACTACTCCAGCAGCGTGGTATCGAACAATTTATAAGGCTTTAACAATATCTGTGAGCAACCATTTAATGTATTGGAAATTTCACGGCTAGCACTGAACAAGAATGCAATGACAACATGGCATCTATTCAACAAGAATGCAATGACCACATGGCATCTATTCAACAAGAATGCAATGACCACATGGCATCTATTCAACAAGAATGTAATGACAACATGGCATCTATTCAACAAGAATGTAATGACAACATGGCATCTATTCAACAAGAATGCAATGACCACATGGCATCTATTCAACAAGAATGTAATGACAACATGGCATCTATTCCGCTCGATCAGAATGTTCGAGGTAGCAGTCCGTGAACAGCTCGCAATCAGACAAAACAGAAAACTAAAACAGCGAGGTGATGGTTGAGATGCATCATAGTAAATTGTACATGGCAGAATTGTACAGAAGAGGTAAAAGCATCATAATATGTTAAAAGAATGAAACAAAGCAGTTAAGTAAAAATAATATGTCTAGAAGGGAGAAACAAAGTCACTGGTATCTCGCCTTTCATCTTCGGCCATTCTGTTGAGCTCAGCCACGCTAACAGGCTCATGTGAAAACATGCAATTTTTCCTGGTGCAGTTCCTTTTCACATGAAATGCCTTACATGGAAATCGTTTAACATCGTGCGAATAGCTGCATGCATCACCTTTCGTACACGAATGGGTAAGAAAGAACTTGCACACCTGTGAGCGGTAGTTTGACTGCTTTGAACCATCTGTTCTGCGGTTTGATGCCTGAACAGGACGTTTGAGAGGGTGTACGTGGTTCTTATTCTGTTTAACAGTGCTTTGTTCTTCGGTCTCCACACTTGTGTCCGTGCTGTCGTACAAAAAATACTTTTTCTCGCTTAATGATGTTCTTTTTTGGCCGCTCCTTTTCTCATCATCCCTTTCCTCAGAGCCTGCATCACTTCCTGCCACCCCATCGGCAACAATATCACCATCCACATGCATCAAACGCTTTTCAGCCCAATGCACCTCGCCAATCACCCGAGTTCTTTTCATGTACACCTCACCCTCTTCAAGCTCATCATCCTTCTCCTCTATCCTCTCGTACATCCGTTTAACACCTATCACACCGCTGTCAGCCACATTCCCGTCTTCCGACCTACTCCTCGCGTTGATATCGGTTAAAACCGTTGTTCTGAATCTCAAGAGATTTTTGTTTAGTTTTGTTGGCACCAACATACGGCGAATCATCGGGGCTCGCGTTTTGAAACTTTTTATAGTTCTGCACCGAAACAGGGATGTGACCTATAAACAATTTTATTCTCTGGTACAGTTCCGAATGACTGTGCAATAATTTTTTTGTTAAAAGTACGTTTACTTGTACCCTACGCATCATTCAGACGAGCGTGCTTTTCGATCAGCAGGATTCGGTTGCTGTTCATAATACCAACAATAAATGAGAAGTTCTACTCTTCGCACCCAAAATTGATATCCATCAACGATAACTGTGTTTATACACTACGACAGGTGCTGTACAAAGTATTTCTTTACGATAACCTCCCCTTTCTCACCAAAGTTTGTGTATGTTGTCCTCCATATCAATAGCTTTCCTCTGTTCTCCAAAACGCCCTCTAAAACCGAATCAATTGCTGGATTACGTTTGGGAAGGAACAACGTGTTAAGAAAAGAGATAGAAACGATTTGATGTGTAAGTACCTAAGCATCGCATAAAGAGCTGCAAGTGGTACTTATAGGTGATGGAACAGATAACAAACGGCAAATAACACAATCAAGCAATAATCCAACTTTATTTGCCAAAGGGACGACGAGCATCTCACGTTTAATCTTAAAGTTTATTTAAACAAAATAAAAAGTCTGCGACCTTCTATAGCCACCTTGATTGCCACCCATATCGAAGTAAAACGACTGTCCACCCCCTCTGCCGAAGAAGGCCTCGAGCATTTGCTTGACTTGTTCGTTGTTGGCCGCTCCATGTCCCCGGCCGTATCCCTGCTGATCTAACATGCCGCTATCGTACAACTTCCGCTTCTTAGGATTCAGAAGAACATCTCGTGCCTGATTTATTTCTGCAAGTTTCTTCGTCAGCATTTCCTTCTCTGACTCTGTAAGCTTCACCTTTTGCCTATCAACATCATATTTAAGCACCAGCCGGTTGTACTTCGATTTTATATCCTTCGGTGTTGCGGTCGGCTCAACACCCAGCAACTTATAATATCCTTTGCTGTCCTGATTTGAGCTGCTGTACTGTTGGTACTGGTCGGCATACCGTTGCTCTTTTCGCTTCTGGTCCCTCCTTCGTTGTTCTTCGCTCCTTCTGCGCTGTTCTTCGTTTCTTCTGCGCTGTTCCCTACTCTTTCTCTTCCGTTCCTCTTCATTCTTCAGCCTTTCCTCCTCCTTTTTTTCCTCTTCCTTTTTCTTCTTCTCCATCACATCGATGGTGCGCAGCGTCCTTTCGCGCAACGATTCGTTCTTCACTTTTCCCACTTGTTCACGCGCCTGACTTAGCTCTCCTTCCGCCAGCAGCGCTTTAACAAGAAGAACGTACGAATCATCCTTCGGCTCAAGCCTGCAGAGCAGCTCAGCGTACTCTGTAACCTTTTTATTCTCCTCAGCACCATTCTTCACAAAAAACATCAGAGAGTTGATCAGCAACACATAAAATATAGATGGATGCTGGTCTTTCATTTGTAGACTGTGCACTTTTTCCACAAAATCTTTTGTTTTGGTGTAACTAAAGCTCTCTTCTTCTAAACCTCGGAATATGTCACACATTTTTTTAAACAGTCCAGCTCTGTTGCTTCCCGAACTCAGAAGCAGGTTGTGTGCGACTTTGTTCTCCGATCTGAAGGCATGATAAAGTGCACGTAGATACGTGATTTGGTTATCGTCCTTGAAAAGCATCTTTGCCTTCGAAAGGAGCGTATAACACTCTCCCATGTTCGTTAACATCTTTTGCCTGATCATCTCCACCATTACTGGTTTAGAGAACGGGCTCTTTAAATAGATTTTGTGCACATTTTCTTTCAAATTTTTGGACATTTTCTTCATTTTTGTAGCTTCGCCGACTAGGCTCTCGTCATCCCTGAAAAGCGACAATATCTTGTCGTAGTCTCCAAGTTCCATCAAAAAACTGGCGTACTTTTTCCTAACCAGCCCATTCGAGCTGTCATTGTCAAACAAGTTGGAGATCACTTGCCGGGCAGTTCTGAGCTGGCCGTTGTCAACATGCGAAAAGAAAAGATCCAAGTTCTGGCGAAGATTTGATTCTGCACAAGCCAAGAGAAGAAAAAGAATCATCAATGGGTAAATTTTACAAATTTATGAACCGTTGTTTTACAAATGTAAAAAGATGATTGGCTGACGTTGAAAAATGGGAGAGGCTGGCACATGAAGAGCTGGGTGTACTGAGTGGCGATTTACGGTCGCAATGCTGGATTACGAGCTTTTTTGATAGACAGGTCATGTCTGGCAAGCCTTCATCCATTCAACAAACAGGATAAAGCCGAAATATGATGTACCATATGATCCAGTTACCACTCACACGTACCACTTTTTTGTTCGTTCTGTGCATCGCTTCTTTCCTGTCTTATTTAGTACGAATCGCCTGGGCCCTCAGAAGTGTCTTACAGCCACATCACACATCAGTGCTATTTCTCCATTGTAAGTGTATCAGCGTTGATATGGTGATATTCCAATTAAAAATCGTTGCACACGAAGAGTTCGGTGATAAATCGTGTGTAATGAGGAGTGTCGCGGATCTGTGGTAATTTGCATGCCATCGCAAGTACCGGTAAAGACGTTTTTAACCATTTCTTGCGACGAGAAAACGCCTTGCTCATATCACCATGTCAATCGTGCGGTTGATTGGAATAAATTTTGTTCTCATGTGTGTTGGTGCTCTCTGAAGGACGGTCTGCTCTCTACGATACCCACACAAAGATACCTTAACTGCAGTATAAAATTATGTTTGCTCGTTAATTATCTGTTGCTGTAATTTGTTTAAAACGGGAAACGTTGTACTTAATAACGCTATTTTCTATTTTTGTGTTCGTATCTTCCACTGATAGATGAAAAATAATTCGTATTTACCCGGCCTTTACCGCTTTTATACACAAATACTTGACTCCTCTTGTGGCCACATAAGCATTTCCGTGGCGAGAACAAATTTGAAAGAGATTAAACGATTGTTTCTTTATTTATAGCTACTTTTGCGGTGAACTTTTTGTTCGTCTCCGGCAGTTTTGTGTAAATGAGGCAACGGTGCTCCACTCCTCAGCGGCATGATTCCACGTATTCATGTGCAGCACAACAAGTGATTTTATATCTCTGTCTCGTACGTTTCCACATTCTCCTTGCTTTTGAGAACATATGTTTTGATGTACGACCAAACGAACTTGAACACGAAGAAAAATGCGATGAAAAAGAGGACGATGCCTGCAAATATTAGAACATCTCGGATGTTGAAATCCACAGCTTCTGCTTTTTTCTCGATCAGTGTCATAAAATCATTTGTTTTCCTCATAAAATAGTTTGTATTTAATTTATCACAGCCTCAATTGTTATTAAATCACCGACTAATTATCCGTGAACCGGAGAAGGAACACTAAGCAGTTGTTTTTGTTGGCAAACAGTATGTTTATTTGCATGCATCGTTTTTGTTAGTCTTACCAAAGTATTTTGGTCCGTTTTCGGTACCGGCCTAAGCATTTTTTCTGATCCAGTCTTATTTTCATCGGAAATACGTGTGACCAGCCTAAGCATTTTTTCAACGAATGACCTCATTTAAAGTCGCTTCACCGCCAGACAGTGAATGGTTATTTCCAGTCCGCCAACACGGAACATAGATCAGTGGACATTGTCAGCTCTAGCGGACAAGAAAAACGTGTTGTCGAGATGTTTTGACACCAAAATATAAACAAATATATTTAAGTTGAACAAAATTTTGATTCACCGAGAGCACCCGAGTCAAAGACAGCTGCATTCTTTCATATCATAGTGTGACATAAAAATACGTCAAAGTTATTGATAATTGTCATGAAATCTTTGAAGAATGTAACCTGAGTATCGGGCACACTCATCATCAATATTTGTATTTCTCTCATCGTTTTAGCCTTATGAGATGTGCAAGGCTACACAGCTGTGCCGATTCTGGATTTATAATGACAGCATAACGAGGATTCGGGTAACTTCACCGCTATGTATTACTACGATCTTGATAGTCAAAGCACAGATGCATCATTCAATACACCCAATACAAAGTATTAATAACCCCAATTAGTAGCGTGTTTGAACACTTTTAACAGTTATAAGTGGGTACGTACCTCCAAGGCAAAAGATATAGGAATTATTATAGTTGAGTATTTCAACACCTAATTTGCTGTCAAAGAGTTAAACTGAAATTGATGCCCAAAAAAGCTGTTATTCTTGGTTTGCGTCTACAGAGAAAAGTACAAACCATGTGTTGCTGGTACAACATCTGATCGGACTGAGAGACTTCTCTATTTTTCACTATTGATATGTTCACTTATCTATTACAATAATACATATATTTGATCTGAAGTGCACCTTTATTGTAGAAAACATCCGACTTATATTCCAAGTTACGGTAGATGGAGGTTTGATATGGACCAATAACATTGTTCGATCGAAACGGCTACTCCCAAAAGTGATACAATTTTTGTTTGTTTCACCGCGTCTTTTAATGAATAAACATCATTTTCTACCCCATGTTTAAATCGGAAAATTTTATTTCACTAACATTGGCTGAAGTACTGCGACCTGTCATACCGCTTATAGTAATTTCGGGCACTCTCAACATGTGCAAAGTATATTCTAGGGTGCTCGCTACCACACGCACACTCAAAATCATTCTACCGGTCACTCTGACATACTTTGTCCCACCTTTGATCGCTAATCTGGTGTACAAGCAATTTTATGTGAGCAATATCGTGATAGGATCTTTCTTTGCGGGTTGTCTGATATTTCCTGTTTTGAGCCGCGCGCCTCATATCCTGAATTTAAGCGCTTCGCTGTGCTACATCGGCAAGTTCGGTCTTTTCAGCTCCATGAGAGACAATAAGCAATCAATATCGGATGTGACCTTGTGGCTCATTGTGAACGAGTTCGTGAGCATTTTTATCCTGAAAATACTTTCCAATGACCATTCGTTTAGTATATCCGAAGAAATCGTAATCAGAGTGTTAGGAAATGTTATTTTGATATATATGTGCAGGATATTCCATGCCAACGATATTGTAATGGTGCTTTTGATAATATTTGCCGATGTTGTGCTTTATTTGAAACAAAGGTATCTTGGTGAGGCTCTTAAAAATGTGCGTATGAATGAACGACAGGGATTGAAAAATTACTTCCGGAAACGCGTGGATGTTGACAAGCAGGGAAAAAACGAACCAAAGGATGCGAACATAAGTTGTTCAAAGGTTAGCGAGGATTCAACCGCTGAAGACGAGGTAAAGAGTGGTGATAACAAACCAAAGACCAAAAAGAATCGAGGAAGACCATCCAAGAACTATGCGATGGAAGATAAAGATGGGTTTCAAAGCGCTCATAGTGAAGCAGACAGTTTGTCTGAGGGCAACACGGTAAGGTTGTCAGATATACAGGATGTGAATGCCGCTGGTATTACCTCCGCGAAAAAAAAAACAAGTAAAAAAACACCCAGAAAGAGTGCAAGAGCGAAGCCAAAAGATTTAACAGAATCATCAGATGAAAAAAAGAGCTCAGTAGAAAAACAAACGAAGAAAAGTACAGTAAAAACGCCAAGAAGAAATAAATAAATGTAGTTTTAGTTTTTTTGTTAAGTGCCTATTTGTGCCAGCAAGCAAGTTTCTTGTCAAGATCGACTCTATCAATGTGTTCTTTCGGATGTGCTAAAATTCA